GGCTTAGAAGCATAAGTTCATTTTGCTAAGGGACAGGGAGAGTAAGATAACAGACTCATCTGGAGAGAGGAGGAAATATAGAAGGAAAAAAAATATTTGCAGCAGAATAAGGAACTGAGGTATGAAATTTTGATTGATGGACAAAAGGAACGAAATTTGCACTAGAAGAGAATGTGTAATAAGGGGAGAATTGGAAGAAGGGAATAGGACAGGAAAACTTTGAAGATATGCAAAGTGCAAAGGGTGTCTTGGAACACAGACATTTGGGGAAAAAATAGAAAAAAAGATAGGCCTGAGAATTCATGGGAACTGAACAGGGTGAGAAGACTGTAAGCAGAAAAGGATGAAGCTGGCTTCACAATTCACTAGAATGATGGCATGTATAAGTTGGAAATTAACTGGAAGAAAGCTGAAAAGATATGCACTGAGACAGTTGCTAGAAAATAGGAAAGAAATGGAGAAGATAAGCAAAATAACAGCCTGAGAGAGAGAAATAGGTTAAGCTTCCTGTTCTTAGCAGGAGAGCTTTGGGAGAAAAGAACAAAAAAATTAGGTAGTGATTTGGGAAAAGGAAGACATGACAGGGACACCATATGAAAAGAATGGTCAATGGGGAAGACAGTGCAGAAGTAGAACACTTTTTGATAATGTATAGAGGAAATGGTGATTAAATGGAATGAAGATGAATGTACAGGACTTGCGAGAGAAACTACTGGGAGACAGAAAAGTGGGAGTATGGGATTTACAGAAGAAAAGAAAAATTAATAATGTAGGCAGACAAACACATGGTAAATAGCCAAGTGGGGAAGAAAAAGTCAATGGAAATAAGAACGTAAGAGCGGCAGTAAATGTCATTGTTCTAGTGCTTAGTAAGAGGTCGGGTAACAAAACAGTATATAAAAGTCAAACATTATCTTTGTATGGTACCTTTTTGTGTGGGATGAGGGGGTCTTGGGAAACCGGATTGGGAGCTAGGCATAGGCATCTAGTGAACCTACAATATGTATGGAGAAGAGGATAATCTGCTTTATTATTATTTTAAACAGAAGCAAGAAAGAAAACATTTAAAACCAGTGTCTACACCAGTTCATAATAGCTTAGTATCTGTTTGCATCTGTTAAAAAATATATAAGTATATTTGAGACCCACATTTGGGTTATTTATTATGATTATTTGTTAGCATTTTTATGGATATTCCAGCAAACTGTTATCTACCCAGTATTTAAAAAACCAAAACCCAATTCTAAAATAACCTTCTTTTTATAGTCTCATGTTCAAATTTCTTTTTATTGTCTCTCCTCCCATTTTACACGACTTTACATGAACTAAAAGTGAATCTGAACCAGTGTTACATGGTAAGAAAATAGAACAGAAAATACCCCACTTATTGACAAATGCAATTATCTTTTATGCTTAAACTAGTCCTATTCCTAACTCACATGGATATAAAAATATCAACATTAAATATCACTTCAAGTTGACAAGTAGCCTTTTATTTATAATAGATAGTAAATAAAAGCTTTAGTTTTAATTATTATTTCCTTGCATAATATTTTCTTAAATGCTGAAATTACACTTGGTATTTCAATTACTACACCTCCCCACAGAACGCTGCAGCTTTCCTACTTTCGTTTGCTTAGTTATAGAACTGCATAGCATGCTTAATACAGTAAGTTGAAAAAAAATTAATGATTGTTGATAAAGAGCCTATTACTACGGACATGCTTTCATTCTGAGATACAGATACATTTTTGAGAGGAATAAGAAAGGCATAAGTATTTCTCTAGTAAGTACTTTTTCCCAGAACCTGAAACATGAAAGAGATAGTATTATATTATTTATTGAGGAATATATTGTATATTCTATATAATAATTCTTCTATAGTGCATACTAGAGTATTTAAAATATAATTTACGGATTAAATGTAATGATGTAATTGAAATTTTGCAAGATTGGAAAGAAATGGTCTTTGTGGCCCTGATGAAAATTCAAAAAAGTGTCAGAAAAATCCCAGTTTCACCCGTTGGAAAGCTTTTGTAGAGTTTTGCAGCTAAATTCTCCAAGGACCCCATCTGTACTGAGCATGCTTTATCCCGGTGCTGCAGGAATGAAGCAGTTCTATCCCTGCAACTCTCTCTCCTCATTATTGCAAACAATTGCTGTGCTAAGTACTGAAATAAGAACAGAGAAATTGTCTCTGCTTTTCTCTCAGTGCTTCCCTCCCTGATATTCAAGCAGATGCAGAAGAAGAGACAGAATGCGTACTGAAAGCAGTAGGGAACAAACGTGAGCTTGATGGGGAGGTGGGGGGAAGCAGAGAATGCAGAGAGAGATGTGGTACCAAACAGGGAAGGCTGGTAACGGGGAATGTCAATGCGACATGGACTCTCGAAATGGCTGGACGAGAGGAGGCAAGAGCAAGGGTCAAACAGAGACAGGGGCCGGGGGTCACCGAGAAGAGAAAGAGCTTGTAATTAAAGAAATAATCAGGATGGCATGAAACTGAGCTCCGAAGAGAACGCTGGAAGAATGTTAAGTTGGGGAAAAAAACCCCACAATGTAACACAGAGGAAGGAAAGGGTGAGATTAGTCATTGACAAAAGCTGGAATTGGAATGAGGAGGAAGAAACTAGGAAGAACTGGGGGACAGATACAGGGACATGTGCTAAGATGGACACAGATAAAAAGGAGTTTATGGTGAAAGGGGATTCTCCTTCCAACACTGGAAGTGAACACAAAGAGTCCTGACACTCAGCGTTACTCATCTGCCATTAACTGTTTCTTGAACTATTTCTGAAACCTGTCAGCCTATAACATAGCTGATCCACAACAACAAGCTCCTACAGTTACATTTGTGTTGTAGGGTTACATACTGTGGTAGAGCTAAAAGTTCTGAACTGTTGTATGACAATTAAGCCTAATATAATCAAATAAGAAATTGCAACTCTGTTTCTTGCTTCCTTTTAGCTTTTCCTTAAGAAAACCCTATTTGAATTATATTTTAAGACTGCAAAGTAGAGATAGGAAATGTCAGAATTAAGGTTGCCTTTGCAGTGTGATCCAATGTCACAATCAGAGTATATTGTGGTCCAGTCTTTAATAAATAATCATCTGTGGTAGTTGGTTTTTTTTTTGTGGTTTTTATTTACTTGCACCACCTTGGACAGATGAATCAAGGAAAGGTCATCATTATTGAAAATGTTACTTCTAAGTCTTTCATTTCATTTGATGCGTAAATGGAAATATATGAAATGAACATAAGTAGGCAGAGGATAGCTGGAAAAGAATGGATGATCATGATTAAAAAGTCCAAGTGCTGTTCCTGTACAGTCTGGGACAAGTCCTTTAGAATACATTCTTCCAAAATACTGGGTAATTATGTGTTGCACATTTTATAAGTATCCAGCTTGGTATCTCAGCCCATAAATGAAACTCAATTCAACAGGAACAATGATTTTAAATACACTGAATACATTTGCCAAAAATGCGAAGTATTCTGAAAAAATAGGTCCTAGCTTCTCAAAAGTTAAACAATTTGTCACCTTAATCTTTCTTAATCTTTGCTTTCCTGACTTTCAAATGGGAATACTCCAAACTTCACTTTCTTGTGGGAATGCTCCGAAGATAAAGTAATTAATGTTTGCAAAGAGCTCAGATACTGCAGTGACAGGTGTAATAGAATGGCCTCCCAAGAAACTCAAAGTCTGTCTTTGCACCAAACAAAACAACAAAATGACTGGATTATAACAAAATGACATAATGACTGGATTCTCACTAAATCTATTACACCAAATGGTGCTTTGAATAGGGCATACAGTTTATGGTAAGGAAAGTAGGATTCTGGAATAACAAAGCTCACATGTACCCACTTCCCAGGCAACGTTTAATCTGGCATACTCCAACTTCTAAGTTATTGACTTTGCAGACCTAACTTGCTTTGAATCTAAATGTTTTTGTTTATATACATGTGTTTGTCCTACATAAGCACTTATTGCCTCTTTTGTATTTGTTTACATGCTCAATACATTAAAAGCTTGTTGACTTTTTATTCTGTTGTTACAGCCTCCTTGTGGCACACCAGTAACAACTCTCCAGGAGTTAGAAAAAGTGATTAAGTAACACACAGAAGATGTCAAATGATACTGTTAAGATGACTGACTTCAAAATGCAAAATAAAGGCAATTGAGAGTGATTACTGGAGCTAATCATTTTAGGCTTGCTTCTGAAAAATGCACCTTCATTTACAATTGAAAACAAATGCTATTTTTACTCTTTAGTATGCATGTAGGTAGATTTAGCCTGTTGACTAGAGAAGACATTATGACATAAATACTATCTTAAAAACTTGCACTTTACTAACACCTTGGTGTTTGCAATATATATATACACGCATTTAGATTCACGGGGGAAGTAATATGGCTCTCTTTAGTATTTCATGTAAAAATTTACTCAGCAGATTTGTTTTATTAGAATGCAAATAATGGGATATAGTAAATGAAAAATCCAAGAAGGGAATAAACAGATTATTTATTGTTAATGCTCAGAGCAGCTTATTGAAACATACCTTTCAGTAACTGCCACTGAATATTAGGTATGAAATTCTTATCATGCCTTGAATGTTACCTATTAGGTTTAGTCATTCGTATAGTTAAAAGGCTCATAATATTTCAAATATACCTTTAAAAACATTGTTATCTCACATCTAACTATACATATTCACAAACACTGCATTCAACATGTCTGAGATTCAACTCAATATTGCTTCAAATCAATTATTCTTCTTTAATTGCTATGTATAAACAGAAATGACCTATTAATTTAAAGGAAATCTATCAGCACAGAATGTATTCTCTCTTATAAACAAGCAAGATGAACTTGACCTTGTTTGAACTTGTTTTGATGTGGCCCAGATGGTAGGCTACATGCTTGAATAGCAGTCTAAAGCTGAGGAAAAACTCATACAGCAAGATCTAGATTTATAGCCTTTTGCAAATTCCTACCTTGTATTGTCCTTTCAGCATCTGTTCTGCCCCCGCTGCGGTCAGCTTCTATCTCTGGGGTCAGAGAGTCTAGAAACATGGAAAGGTAAGACTGACACATATTTCATTTGATTCTTATAGCCCTTTTTACAACCTGTTACTCCAGTGCTGAATTACAATACAATCAACCTTTGTCAGTTTTTTTAATGTTGAACAATGACTGGAGGCCAGGACAATTTTTTGTTAGACTAGGAAGATTAATGAGCAATAGATTTTTCAAGCATAAAGTGGGGGAGAAAAAGAAGAAGAAAAAAAAATTGACTTCTCAAGCTAATAATATAAAATTGTCCTAGTTTGGACATTCTCTCCAGTGAGTTTATTTGCACATACTATATAAAGTAACAAAACAATAAAGACAGAAGCATCACTTGAATGAAGGAAAGAATAGAGATTTTCTTTTTTTTCTCCTCCTGTCATGTTATAAATTTTCAATATAACAAGCTTCTTTTGGCACTTAAATTGAAGTTAATGACACCGAGGCAAAAATTGGTTTCTTACCATTTAGGACCCTGAGACTATCTGTTGAAGCTGCCTGTTTCAGTGTCTGTTCTGCTTGCTCCCGTCGTTTAGTCTCAAATTCAAGTGCTTCCTGCAATTTCCTTTTTGCCTTCTTTTCCTTCTTTAGCCTTTTCTGAATTATTGCTAGGAAAAAAAAGGAAATCAATGTACTCAAATTCGGATCTGAAACTTGGATACATGATTACCTATTAAGAGTACTGAGAAACTGCAACAGTTCATAAAAATTGCTTAATTATACAATACGAATTCAAATAATTTGAAATTTGCTGGAATCAGACTGGGATATTCCGAGAGCTACTGTTCGATACCATGGTATTGAAAACTCTAGGTGCTATTCAGCTAACACATATATATATAGTTTTTATGAACAGATGAGAATCTGTGAATGTCCAAAGTGGAAAAGCTCAGAACCGGCGATGAAATTTACTTTTTGTATCGCCTGATGTAGATATGCTTTTGTCTCTGGAGGAGAGGTGTTTTTTCGGGATTAAGTCCACCGCTTTGTTATTGCCCACAGTTATTGCACACAGCTATGCACACATCGTGATGAAGTTCTCTCCCGTCTGCCTGCCTGCAGCTTCTCTCCCACAAGAGGGAGATCTGGCTGCTTGGGTGTCTGGGCTGCAGGAGGAGCTCAGCCCCCCACCCTGCTGTGGTCCTCATTCCTTAGGGAAAGGCCCTGAGCTTTCCAACTCCCCTCCAAGCTGCTGCTTCCCGCAAGCCACCTGAACTCTTGGAGCCTGATCTCTTCCCCATTTTTATGTCTTATCCACATTTCCCTTTGTCTTTCCCTTTTATCTTTCTTGCTCTCTGTCGGGTCCTGTTCCAACTAGCCTTGAAGAAGTCACAGCAAATCCTTTACGCTGCTGGATCCCCCAGCCAAGTAAATATCACTTTACTTTGTCAAATGTGAAGGAAATATTAGGAAAGGAATGCGTATTTTAAAATTTGAAGGCCCTAACCTAGAAAAATGTTTTCTTTGTGTCTCTTCAGTTCAAATTTTACAAGGAAAAGGACTGCAAGATCAGGGTGTAAGTGGATCACACAAGGGCTGTTTTAAAGAAACTTCATCTCAAATTTCTTTTCTATGTCACCAGTGATTTACAACCACAAAGTAAGACTTGTATGATCTCTAACTGAAGGAACATATCACAGGTTATGTTCCTGATGGAAAAGAATAATGTGAACCAACTCTTCTACTCAATAAAAGCCAAAGTGAGCCTCTAAAGAGGTCATGTAAAGTCATAGAGCATATCATTATCTCTCCTGCCACACCCCAGCCCTTCTTACACAGCGTATTTAGCATTTTCACAGATGTGCATGTAAGAGGCTTATTTTCCCTAAGATATTCCCAGATAACCCTTTGCTGGAGAGTCTATTATTTTTACACTCAATATACAATTTTTTGGTATACTACTAACTAAAGAATTCTGTACTAACACTAGAAGAATTATCCTTACCAAGCCCAGAAGCTAGGTGATACTAAGTTTGACTGCCAAGATTTATCATAGAATCACAGAACCATAGAATGGTTTGGGTTGGAAGGGACCTTAAAGATCACCGAGTTCCACCCCCCCTGCCATGGGCAGGGACACCTCCCACTAGAGCAGGTTGCTCAAGGCCCCATCCAGCCTGGCCTTGAACACTTCCAGGGATGCGGCATCCACTTCTCTGGGCAACCTGTTCCAGTGTCCCACCACCCTCACAGTAAAGAATTTTTTCCTGATTTCTAATGTAAATCTCCTCTCTTTCAGTTTAAAACCATTACCCCAGTGTATCCTATTGCTACATTCCCTGATAAACAGTCCCTCCCCATCTCTCCTGTAGGCCCCCTTTAGGTACTGGAAGGCTGCTATAAGGTCTCCCCAGAGCCTTCTCTTCTCCAGGCTGAACAACCCCAACTCTCTTAGCCTGCCCTCATAGGAAAGGTTCTCTCCAGTCCACTGGTCATCTTAGTGGCCCTCCATTGGACTTGTTCCAAGAGGTCCATGCCCTTCTTGTGCTGAGGGCTCCAGAGCTGGACAAAGTACTCCAGGTGGGGTCTTACCGGAGCGGAGTAGAGGGGCAAAATCTAGCCCTGTATCTCACTCCAAAGTAACCTCTGGTACATGCCTAGCAGTGAATGTTGGCAAAGGTAAAAATGTACTTCCATCAGTTCATCCTCCTTATTTCCAGTAGTCTGCAATGGTGGTGTCTTTCACAAAATGCAAATAATGAAACTTTTAAATGGAACCATCATTGTTATTACTGTTTAATGTATATGCTAAGAATTAGCCACTTTTTGGATGATCTTGGATATTTTGTGTTGCTATACAGAACTTTTCAGACACAAAATGAACATAAGTGCATACCCTGTAGTCAGAATAGCTACATAATTTACATCCAAGACTTTTGAATTTTGGTTCTTTCTCATTTTATATAGTACCAACTATTTTACAGGCTAATTAGCCTATACTATCAAAGAACATCTAGTATCTATACAAAGGCTAAACTAAATACATTTTGAATCATTGCACGGTTTTACTGTTTTCATTATAAGTACTTTGGAAGTGATTGCAATAAATGAGAAGGAAACATATGTTGCTTTCTGAATTAAAATGTCATCATGGCTGACACATTGTGGATGTGACTACAGCAGTCAGAGCCAGAATTAGCAAGCCCTTACTGTGTAGCTGCTCACAGAAGAGATATTATCCTACTTTCACTAGTTGATGAGACACATCCTACAGCCTTAGGAATCACTAATTGGAATATTTACAAAGAAGGAAGGAAACAGTACAGTAAATAAGCAGCTCTGTAGAACACACAGTGAATTTCATGTTCCGAAAAATGGCAAAAATATTCAGAAGTAGCCACTAAAGATATTAGACTTGTGTTAACACAACGAGCAAAAGATAGAGGTTTCCTAATGCGGAAGATCCCATTCATCTAATGGTTTTTGACCTGTCACACAGTGACTCGCATTTCTATGCTGCAGCTTTTAAATGTATTTCAGTTTTTTCGAATGGTATCTCTTATCAGGGATATAGTAAACTTCTCCCATCTTGCTTATGCTTCCATTAAGGCATGTGAAACTTTACACTTGCTGTTTGGGAAACTAATAGTAGGTAAAGCCTCCTATATATTTTTCTACTTTACTGTAGAAGAATAAATTCTCCCAATAATTACAATCTGGCCTTATTTTTTCTCTCCTACTTGGATCTGTTCATTTTAAAGAATAATCCATTACTTTTCTCTCCTTTATATGGAAGTATCCACCAGCAGAGACAGTCAGCCTCATTATATTTGATTTGCTGCATACCACCATTAAGTGTTAAAATCCATTCGTCTTGAGTCTGACTCTTATACCAGTGCAGTATCATCACTAGAGAGATACATATGAAAAAGCAGGTAATGCATTGTGCTGAAAATAACATTGTCAATTATTTCAGTACCCTGAACAAAATAAGGGACTATCCCATGCTCTTTCCTGACATACAATTTTGAGTGAAATTAATTTTGTTTAATTTTAACTGCTCAAAACACATGCGTCTAGTCCACCCTAGTCAACTATATTCCTTCTGGAGTTAAAGGGAACAGAAAGAAGTCCTCACAGTGTAATTGACCCCACCTACCTGTCTGAGAACAGGATATACAAAACTCTTTCTTTATTGACCTGAAAGGGAACTTCTATTAGCTTAAATTAGTTGCTTAGCTTCTAGAGGGCATAACTTAAGTAAGGTCAGATGGGTCCCCCCCCCAACCTCTTATGTTGTGCATGTGGTTTCCAAACTCTAAAAAGGGATATATATTTGAGCAGCTGTGAGACACAGAGGTAGAAGGATGTGAAGAATAACTGAGCTCTTTTACAAAACTACTCAAGAAGTGTTAAGTAGTGCAATTGTACTGAACAAAATAGGCCAGCTGTGGAAAAAGGGATGATTCATTGCACAGCTGTGATAATTGTTAATAGTGATTGTCTTTAAAAATGTATTCTCAGAAGTTAAAAAAGGGATATTAATGATGTGACAGTCCTACCCTTTAATGGGTCAAGGCATGAAACAGGGTTACATTGTGTACTTACTGGTAGAAAGTTAAAGGTAAATCCAAGTGTTCTCGGGATTCCCTATTTAGCTGGTTCCCAGAAAACTAAACTGGACAAGAAAAAAGTTATAACTATAGCCCTGCAAAAATACATATCTGACTTGTCATGTTCTGTGTTAAACAGCAAGTGAGCCCCAGAGGTTAACTGTCCCTTGCAAAGTAATTAGACACTGTTAAAGGGCAAGACATACATATACAGAAACATAGAGCAATAAAGCAAGATGGGAACATGCTCATAATGCAAATAGTTAATGCAAATCACTGTAAACTGCTCTACCTTTACTATCAATCTTTTATAATGTTGTACTGAAACAATATAATGAAATTATTTTAAAATCTTTAACATGTATATGCTTTAAAGTGGGTTGATTTTAATGTTTGAAATGCTACTAATGATACTGCCTTATCAAAAAGAACCTTAGCTGCTCCTTGTACAAACATGTTTGATCTACTATGCACTATAAAGGGCTTATACATCACTATTACCATTATATTTATCAGATGTGGTTTGCCTGAATTTGCAATATATGACTCTACCACATAAGAACAGAGACAAGAGTTCCTAAAACCTTGCAGATTCTTAAATTTGATGGAAGTTGTCTTTGTATTAAGTAGCTATCCTTTTTCACAATGATCACAAGCCGCCATAACAGCACATATGGTATTTATAATTGTGTTGTGTATCACTGATGTAACAAGTAATATTAAAGAAAAATGTTGAGAAAAAGGAAGGTCCTCATCTTAAATCTCATAAAGATCCTACGCAGAATCAAGAAGGTTGTAAAACTTCCTGCATTGCAGTCAGCCTTGACATAACATGAGGTAAAGGGGAGAAATTTTAATCAAACACAGGTGTTTGATAAAAAAATTACGTTTTCTAAGGAAATAAATTACAAGGTGTTTATGTCTGCTTAATTAAGATACCTCTGTTCTTCTGCTCCACAGCCAACTGTTTTTCAAGAGTTTCCCTCAGTTCTCGTTCCCTGAAGAGCTCCATCTTCAGTTCTGTCTTTTCCAGTTGGACCTGTTTCTCTTGAGCTCTGGCATTGTCTATAGCAACCTTTAGTAAACCCTGTTCAAAGATAAAGTTGGATAATGTTTGAAGAATACTAGAACAGCTGACACAATAAATAACTTCTGTTATTTTTCCTTGATTAGTCATGTGAGATTTTACAAATGAAATAATCCTGTTGCTGGCTCAAAGCCACCCAATTATCAACAGAAAATTTTTACTGGAATTATTTTTGATAGGTGGGCAAAAATCTGTAAAAAGGCAGGAGTCAAGTTTTTCCAGAAAATGCAAACTTACCTTTGACTGTGCATATAACTAATGTGAAAAAGTTATAAAGATAGCTTTAGTCTGTAACAGATAAAAGAGACAAACCTACATCAGGCATTTGCTTGTCACCAAAACAAAAAGCTGTCCCATTGAAAAAGAACTGGCAGTCTCACAATCACATCATCCACAGAATGCCATAACTCAAGCCAATGGAAATTACCAACAGGAGAAAGGCTCTTTTAAAAGCTTGCCATTTTGCTTCTTATTGTTGTTAATTATTATTATTTTCAAACATTTTCATATCCCATATAGTTTCCAAGGAAGGTAGGGTTACTGGGATACTAAGCAGAGGACAGTCACAAAGCAGGACGACATCTCTGTTTTAAAAAGTCTGTTCCTTGACCCTGTACAATCGTTACCTCACAGCAGAGTACAAAATGCAATCATCTCTCAATTTCTTGACCTGGGGTGATTGAAAAAAACTCTACCTTATTTTGTTGTTATTGTATCAGGAAATTTGTATTTCCTGATACAATAGGGCCACAAAGATGATTAAGGGCCTGGAGCACCTCTCCTAAAAGGAGACACTCAGGGACTTGGGTCTTTTTAGCCTTGAGAGAAGACTGAGGGGGGATCTCATTAATGCATACAACTACTTAAAGGGAGGGCGTCAGGAGGACAGGGCTTGTCTTTTCTCAGTGGTGCCCAGTGACAGACAGGACAAGAGGAAATGGGCACAAACTTGAGTATAAGAAGTTCCACCTAAACATGAGGAGGAACTTCTTTATTGTGAGGGTGTTAGAGCACTGGAACAGGCTGCCCAGGGAGGTGGTGGAGGCTCCTTCTCTGGAGACATTAAAATCCCACCTGGACAAGTTCCTGTGCAACCTGCTCTGGGTGGACCCGGGGGGTTGGACTAGATGATCTCCAGAGGTCCCTTCCAACCCCATCTGATTCTATGATTCTATGAAATGATTATTCAGTCTAGTCGAAACTTTTCTTGAGAATTTTAACTTCACATTTCCTTCTTTTTTGCAAGGAAACAGGGAGATGCCAGCATAGCTAATAACAAGATCGTTTAGGACACTGAGACAGAGTATGGAAAAGAGGAGGAGAAATGGGATTGAAATAAATGAACGTGGGAAGAGGAAAGTTTTCCATTTTCCAGAAGCCTGGCCATCAGCCTTTTAGGTCTACACCTGAATCTCTCCCTTTGAAACTATCATAATAGAGTAGATAATTAAGCATGGATATGCACATATGAACCTCCATGGATTCGAACCAAACTCTTCTGTATCCTAGGCAAGTCTCCTGACTACTTAACTGTAGAGATAATTTGACCCAACAGAGATTTAATTACTGATACAAAGCAAAACAATGCCAACAAGAGAGATTGAAGAGTACTCCCCAGTAGCTCTGTTAGGGAAGCTTTCAGCTAACAGACAAAAGGTTCACAGTCACAACCTGGTTTCAGAACAGCCATACTATAGACATGAAATCATGTCCCCCAACTGCCAGGTAAGCTTCCTCACCCCTCAGCACACATCCTAAATTGGATTCTGGGTTGCACATTTCTTCACTAAAATTCTTTGCAATATCTCCAAAAAGGAATGGAAAAAGAAACCAGCTCGATGACACTGGAGAAATGGGAAAAAAGTATTTTTCATGAGTGTTACTCTGCACATTTACCCCACTAGTCTTTCCAAAGCCTGCTTTGAAATTCATGTCCTTCAAACTCCTCTTTTAAGCTTGCTTTCAGAGCCTGTTATTTTCAGTACTCCTCATCCTCATTCTTAACTAAATTGTTGCCTCAAGGGTTGTCTCATTCAGAGCTTAATGCTTTGCAGCTCTATTACACTTCAATCTATTAAAGTCCACAGGAGCTGAAAGAACTCAACACCTTCCAACTGCAAGGCCCAGATGGCCATTATGATGATACATAAGTATAAAACTGCTTTAAAAGACCCAAAAGCTATTCTGAAGTAGCTAAAACACAAAGGTATTTTGTGTTGAATGTTAAACCTGAATAACTACTAAAGAAAGCCACAAAAAGCTAAATACAAAGCTCTACAGACATATGCAAAGCAAGACCCAATTTAAAATATTTGTAAAGCCTTTGCAATCTATTTTTTAAAAAGTTTAGATACACCTGAATTCTGTTGTCCCCCCCGCTCTGTTATCCTACGCTAACAACCATCATAAACTATGTTTTCTATATGGGATGTATTTGAAATAATATGAAAATCAAGTAGGAGTTGTTTATCAATACCTGCTATACCTGCTACTGGTTTACGTATGAACTATAGAATACTTTAATCACCTCCAATTTATCACATACTGGAACATGTGATTCACCCAAATCACTAATAAACCAGATCAAATGAAATTACATGAAAAGTATTTGTTGATGAAAATTGTATTGTCAAATAAGTTTAAAGCTGCAAATACCCTCCTCCCAAATTCTTACAATCCATCTTGTTTAACAATAAAATCAAACTGCTAAAGCAACTGCCATCTTTACTCAATTCAACTACATTAATGTACATGTTTTCTTCTTCATCAGGAACAAACAATTAGTAACAAATGAAAGAGATCATTACATCAAGTGCCCTTTTAGATCACCCCAATTAAAACTTTAGTTTAGCTGTATTTTAATTCTAAGATACCAAATTCTAATTTTCTGCTCTGATTGCTCTTGTTGACTTATCTTTGAAAGATGTACTCTCAGTGCAAAGCCTAGAGATTATTTAGCAAGATGCCAATGTTGGCACCACTTAATGTGTTGATTGGTTGTATTATCAGTAGCAGTTTAAAATAAATTACTATTAAACTATTATTGTCCTTGGCTGACAAAACACAATATTTTGGTGTTCTTTAAATATGAAACAATCATTATGAATAAACATGGAGAATAATGCTAGAGTGTAACACTGATGTGCATAATTTTATATTAAGAATTGCTGCAAAGTACGAAGCTGCTAAAAGCATATTACATTTTCTATTGAACTTCTACACCACACTTCCTCCCCCAACCTCTCCTTTTTTTATACTTGCTGCTAACGTAGCTAATGGTAATACATTACCTATTGCTGCTGATTATGTCTGAAAAATATTAGCTTTTTGGAGCCAAGACCCACTAGGGACTACTTATAAGCTACACAAAATTAAGTTTCATTTTTAGAAGTTAAATCAGTGCACATCAGTAGGCGTCCAAAGTGAAAAAAAATCTGCAATAGAGCCAAACTGATGCATATGCAAAAGTGCTGTTGCTGCCAATGACAGCTCTTCTGCAAAAATACTGGAAACATTCAATATCTCCCTGTATTCAATGCAGAAGGGGGTGAGAAAAACAGCTTAAAAGTACAGCATCTAAAATCATTTGTGCCCCTTGGAACAGGAATAGCAATTTCAGAGTTGCATGAAATTCTATTAATTCTCCCAGTGGATCAGCTGTAAAAGATTATACAAAATACAGTATGTCCAACTTGTATTTGCTATGGCTAATCCTCTAACCTGATATTAAATCAATATGCTGCCAATGACAATGGGAAATGCAGTGCAACACAGGACATTAACAAAAAGAAAATATTTCCCTTTAGGGAAGGTCAGATGTTATGGAGGCTGGATAATGATAATTGTAGTGAACACGCTCAGGTTCCAGATTTGTTTTTAATACAGTATGGCTCTATCTGCAGCCAGGCTTTAAATATGGCATGCCATTCTTCCCCTCTGTGTCACTAAATTACTTATTTTTTTTCAATGTAATGTAAAAAATGGACATTTTCCCCCTGGAGTTTGATAGATCATTCTGATTCAGTTTGTTTACTTTAATGCACTTGTTTTAATATTTTCCACTGATAAATTCTTCAGAAATGTCTCAAACAAAACGTTAAGTTGATATATGGTTGAAGTTTCTTCCTGTTCTGCAATGTCTCCAAAGGCACCATTGTGTTAGGACAGTTTACTGATCCTACAGAAATTAAACATATATCAAACCTCAGCTCAGCCTTAAAGCCAGTATTAACCATCATTATTTTTAAAAAACACAAAAAACGTGTTGCTTATTTTGAAAGGGGTGGAGGGGAAGATACAGTGTGTTCCACCTAACATAATTTAGCTATGCAGTTCTATGTGACATCAAAATGGCCTTACCAGGTAGTCCAGTGATCTATCTAGAAGATGAAAGCCTGTTTCTAACAGTCACCCACAGTGGGTGAAAAACTAGAAGAACAAGGCATGCACACAGTGAAGCTTTCCTAGTCAATCCTCCTAGTTTCCAGAGATTTGTAGCTCAGAGGCTTCCTTTTGCAGTATTAGCTATTCATGGTAAAAACACTTCCAAATAACCACTTCTTTTTAGTCAGGAAATTAAATATAATTTGTATGGTCTCATCATTAAAACTATCTAGTGAAAGGTTTGCAAAAAAATCAATATATACATTTTGAGTTAACTTTGCTTGACAGGTAAATTTTTGAATATTTGGTATTTGTAACTGGCTACTGACTTAGTAATATAAGCAAAGTAAGATATCACAGCTTGACTGTTTCTCCAGATGACTCAAGAAAGACATTTTTCTAATATCTCAGATTGAATATCTCCATCACAGGTGAAGACTTATTGCACAAGTATAAGTGACGTTTTTCCATTAATATTTTCTGTGAAAAACATAATCATTCCCTTGAATTTTAGTGGAAGATAAATAAAAGAACATGAAGTAAACCTGTGATTTTTAGTTTATCCAGTGTTTGCAATATTTTTCTCTCATGTATTTAGTTGTAGATGGTAACAGTGCAGGAGACTCACAGCAATAAAGACAGCAGTTTTCTTTGTTTTCATAGGGGCATTTAGTTTGTTATCATGCATTTCTCTTATTAATATCAATGGGATACTTGCAACTTATTTTACATATCTCTTTAAAAATACTTAGCAACAAGAGTGTGTCAAGCAATACAATCCTGACAGAAAAATACAGCTATGAGAGTGCAACTAATTCATCCCTTAGATATTAATGGAAATTCAGCTTGGGGACAGTAAAGATCCAGACTCTAAAAGCTTAAAATAACACTACTATTACCCAAGAATATTGTAGTATCATGAAAGGATGTGGTTGTAACATAATTTGGCATAACTGGGCCATGATTCAAGAAAGTGAACTTATGCGAGAGGTACAGAAACATCTTTAGCCTTCTCACTAGCACCCACACAGCATTTAGCTGTGACCCACCTTCCATCACCCTTCATCCTCTCTGCAGCTGCACACAGACTTCCAGCATTTAATCTGGAAGAAATCAACAAATATACATTGGGAAGGAACAGACATATCATTTAATTTAAGGTCTCTGGGGAAAATTATTTTCTCTTCCTTTTAGATGTGCAGATATACATCTGAATAAGAAAATATGACCCCAATCTCATTTCTTTATTTTACGTGTGCATTTGTTTAATTATATTTTTTGTTACAGTTTATTATTTGCATCTCAGCAGTCCCCAGCAAGATATAAACATTGTTTGTTCTGGGTACTGCATATTGTTATTATCTCCTCTTCAAATGTACAAATAATTAAACATTGCATTTTTGTTTCAATAAGTATTTATGGAGAAGTAAGAAAAATATATATGATATACAAAAGGAAATAAACCTAATTAGCAGCCCAGGGTGACAGTGATAGAAAATAGACTTGTCTAACATTTGCCTAAAATTACAAATTAGTGATTAGGGGCTATCTTTTTAACTTCAGTATGGATGGAAGGCACAGACTCGCTTGTGTTTTGTGGTCAATTTTGAAGGATGAGTCAGACTTCCAAAATGGAAGTAAGTAGAATTGGGCCCCAAGTTCAATTACCTAAGCTCTTTAGCACTGAAAGACTTGTTTTCAAATATCAAAAGCGTTTAGAAATTTTTGATCATATGCCCAAAAGCACTGTTCCCCATGGCAAGGTTTAGGATGCCCCTCACCCTGACAAAGGTCAACGTTAGAGCTCCCGCTGCCCATACAGTGCAGGGAGCTACTTTAAAACATTTTAAACCAGGACGGACTCTACAACCTCTTCTGGAGGTGCACAAGGTCTATATTATGTAGATTCTTCAGATCCTGCACTTCACGCACCTGGATATACACAACAGGATCACAGCACAGATACCTATCGTCACATCACATCACATCTATGCTCATTGGTGTAGCCAGAGGCTGCTTGCCTATGTATTCATGTGACCATCTGATCCCTACAATATAGGTAATCTCCACCACCACATGTGGCAGGTTGTGCATGCACCCCAGTCCCATATGAAGATGTATGTTTGCATTGCACAGAGATATATCCTTGCTGTAAAAGGACACAACTCTGTTTTCATCACATATGACCCTGGGGAAAAAAGAACCTCATTTACCAAAACCACTCACGTAGCCTTTGGCTAGATCTCTGCTATTTTCTATTTCAAAAGCACCTTAGCACTGGAGGCAGGGAATGGACTGTAGGCCATTTCTAGATCTCTTCTAGGAAGTTAGATCGGCTCCATTGCTGGTAACCTCTGTCCTTGATGCTAGAGTACTTGGAACAAGATGGTGAAGGATCTGCTCCACCTCCTCTTTGAAACCACACCTCCGTACTGAAAGGGATGCAAAATTCATCTGGACCAAAGGAGAGCGAAGAGGAATTTACCCAGTGACATGAGTCCTTCTGACACACGTACTAAATGCATCACGGGTTTCAGGTAACGCTTATGCATTTCCTAACAAAGTCACAAACAATATTGCAAGCAGGGACCATAGTACAGAATTCCCTCTTTCCACAAATCCCATTAACGAGTTCAAACGTGTAGTCAAATACCTGAAACTCAGTTCTGAAAGTGCCACTATCACAGTATTTAACTCAATTATGGGCCTGGGATATCCACCTCTCATTGCAATAATCGCTAAATATGGGAACAATTTTAAATTACATTGATTAGAGAAACTGCCACTATTGTGTATAAGCTATTGTAATAGACTCTACTGTTTTAAAGAGAATACTTAAGTTTTTCTACACAGGTGGGAAAATCAAAGTAGCTTTTAATTTTTTTTTATGTTTTTTTAATGAAGTGGTTTTCTAATGTAGTCCTGTTAGAGATTAAATTTATGAGAAGAAAAAATGCCTTGAAGGTGTATGAAAGGATTTCCAGAGATCCGTGGGAACCACATAATGCAATGTTGGGACAAACTGAAAAAATCCAAAAGGCCTTGTGTCCCACCTGTTAACCCTGACAGATGATTTGTCGTGATGTGAAACCTCAAAGTAAGAAGAAGTAAGTACAAAAGCACAATGAGCAAAGGCATAAAGAAGCTTCTGGTTTCTTTACAACAATTTGATTAAATAAAGGCAACATTGCCTTCTATTTTAGCTCTTCACTCCAGATAAGATTAGGGTTTAAAAAAAAATAATAATAAAGCAATGACTGAATTTCACATTCACATTTTCTGTAAAGCAAAACTGAATGCATTCTTGGCAAATTAATCCTGGTCATTTATCCTGAAGTAGTGCAGCACTCTCATATTCAATCACAAGATTAGCTAACCTGTTGATGCTGAATGCTTTGCTCATTAGGTTGCTGTCTAGAGACATTGAGTGCACACATTTGTCAAAAAAATTACGAAGAACTTTCCTGTACATGCATGCACAGCTCAAACATTACATGCTTTGCTAACTGTATTTCTTCCTTTAGAAAAAAATGCATTCTTTACAGACGGCAGCAAAGCTGTTAGAAGAATGCTAACTGTTCTAGAATTACCTTGGTTTGTGATTTAAATATTTAAGATCCTAAGTCTCAGAATCACAAAAAACAACCATAAATATGGTCTCTCAGATCAGGCAATATGTAATTCTTAAATAGCAGTATTTTCCGATCTCAAAACATCATTAATGAGTGGATCATATACTTTTCATAAAACAAGAAGTGCCATAAATTTTGATGAGATTGCTTAAGAAAGTAAAGTGAGCAGGATTTGGCCCTACTCTGTCATAGCCTTTGCTGAACAGAATATCGAGATTGATTTTAGTCCTGTGAGGAGCAGGGAGTTGGACTTGAGGATCCTTATGGGTCTCTTCCAACTTGAGATCTTCTGTGATTCTATGTATTTGCAGGAGTGAGCAGGGAAAAAAATTGTGACAAACACACTAGAAGTAAGTAGCTGCACAGACAAGGCTTGTCTGGAATGAGTACCATACGGCTGCATTATTTCCTGCACTATCATTTTGCTTCTGCATGCAACATAGAATCATATGTTGCACAAGTTGCATCTGGGGAACACATGTTCACTGAATTTGTGGACAAAAAATTTCTTCATTTTAATATGAAACACTCACATCTTGGCTCCAAGCTACATGCTAGTGTGTACCTTAAATAGTATTTGAATCAGGCTGTACTGTACACACAATAGACATTGTGACTACCGAATAGGAAATCTGCAGAAAATTTGGTAATACCCTTTGAAGTCTATTCTTTGAAGACAGTACTTTAAATGAAATGAGCTTATTTATAAAAGAAGTGCTTTTTGGGAATGCTTTTATGGGGGACACATTTCAAATAGCTCTAAATATCATTTCCACCTTGGCACTCCAGCAATTTAAAATAACTATTTATTAAAGAAATGTTTCTCTGCTTAGTAAATGAGATAGAGTTAAACAGTAAGATACATTTCATTAGCCTGTAATAAAAAGAGCATTTAAGACAAATGTTGTTAAACACACCAATGTAATTTTCATCGAATTCTGTGCTGTGGTTTAATATACAATCTGTATTTTTATGTACTGTATCTGACAGCTTCTAAATTCATTTGTTCGCTGTGGTTCCTTTAAAACCTAAATCACTAGAAAGTTTCAGTAAATTAGTTGATCCAAATAATCTTATGAACTGATTAAGCTAGAATGGTTATATTAATTTAGACAAATCTGCAACTGGCTCCTCTCCATCCCTTTAAGCTGATCTACAGAAAGGCCTACCTGGATGTTAGTCAGAAGGGTCTCTATGGAGGACAATCCATCAGGGAATAGAAAAGGAGATGGAAAACCCGGAGGTAGTGGTTGCCCATGCCCAGTTAGAGAAAGTTTGTCAAGGCTGTCTCTTGCGGTTGGTGTGGAGAGCGGGGTCTCATCTGTATGTGATTGAAACAAAAATATAGAACAAGTTACGCTTGTCTGTTTTTATTAGACCTCAGTAATGGCTTCCCTAGTGGTTTCCAGAACATTTATTGCAAATTGGTTCCTGCTATCAGGAGAAAATGCTTTCTGCTGAATTTTCTTTAATGAAAAAGCTGTGGAGATACAACAAGATAACATTAATGAGTAACTTTATAAGCCTTTTAAATGCAGTCTCTAATGAGACTGAGTTTACAGTGCCATAGAATCTTTTTAAAACAAATATTATCTCACATATACTTGTGATAATATATTCAGGCTGACTTTATGGGCACCTTCCCAATTATCTCATTTTAGCTTGTGTTCTATTTGGATTGACAATAGAATATTTTCGAGCATGGCATATATTTTGTATACGAGAAGTATTTGAATATGAGGCTTCCCATACAATTAACCCTTCCCGCTCTTAATGGTTTCACTTACAGCTCAGAAGATTCTGCAACACCAAGAAAAACTACAGCTCCTCAATGCATTTTTAATCAAGAAAGTACACCTGATTCCCACAACTGAAACATGCTCTGAACAATACATGAAATTAACAGCATGGTTACAATCACTGGCCTGATTTTTTTAAGTACAGACATCTTCTAACAATTAGTGCTAAACTCCTTAGTGGGATCTTTGTAACAATCAGATCTGATCAGTTCTGACATCACAATGGGAAAAAAATCCCACAGCTTGAAGACTTCTACGATTAAAGTTTCACAGATAATCTGTGAACAGATTATAATGTAAATGCAGGGGAAAAAAAAAAAAAAGAAAAAAAAACAATTAATAGAAACTTCAATACCCTTTTTTTTCCTACTTTTTGAAATATTTTTAGACTACCGTTGATATGATACAGAAATTTAGGTCAATTTCTTTGCACCAGATATTAATCTGAATTCTTCAAAAGGAAAACTATCTATACATATATATAGAAACATGTATCTATACATACTCTTCTTACCGAGGGCTCAGTCATTAACTGACACATATTGATGTATCTCAATACTATACAAGGACATCAGAATGTGCTCTTGGTATTATGCAGACCTCTGCACAGCTATTTGACTACAGAAGAGTTTGTCAGGCTTGTTCTTTTCCATTTGGGTTTTGATCATTATAAGATACATATGATTTTGGGGTATTTTAATTTCTCTTTCTTTCTGCACTTTAATTACAGTTACAATAGTATTTATATTTCCCTATTTATCCTATCATGTACATGAGGACAGTATTTTCAGAAGTAGACATAGTCTAGGATGAGGAAAATTGAAATCTGCTGCAACAAAAGGTTAGAGTGTAGGCTTTGACAACCTCAGGACCAGAAAACCTTAACTGTGAGACCCAGTTCATTCCAGCAGTCCCCATCCACCATTACTCCAGAAGGAATTTATCTCCATCAGCCATGTTCAGGTGCAGATTTCTTGCCCCGTCCCTTCACCACCTCTGTTCTGCTGGCCAGTATTTACAGTGATAGTGTAAAAGCCTCACCCACCATGTCCCTCCACAGAAATATACAAACAGACATCTGGATATCTGCCTCTGGGCTGGTCCCACTGAGCTCTTTCTAGTCAGTGGAGAGAAGCAGGCACCAGTTTAAGATACTAATCCATCTGAACTACCAAAAGCACCTACTGCAGGAGGAGACAAATCTTTCTCTAGAAGTGTCTCCTGACTGTAAAATGAGCCTAAGCTGACTAGCTCGGATGCAAAGATCTACTTTTGGTGAAATCAGTCCTACCATGGAAGCTGTTATTCCTGCTTCACCGTGGCTCAGGCTGAGAGTAGGCTACACAAGGAGTAAGATACTCTTAGATGCTCCCTATTTTTCACAATTGGTCCTACAATTACTGGTTTCTCATAAAATCGCAATCTAAAAGCTTACCAAGATAAGCTTTGTGAAATGATGTCAACCAAGGAAAGCTTTAGCCCCTTCAGAATAATAAAAAGCTTTTTCAGATACATTTAAACTTTCCAGTCACGTCACAAAGCGCTGAGAAAAACTGGTTGTAGATTGCTGAACCATTTCCCACCTACCTCACCGAGATTCAAAGCAGGGTCTGAAAAATGTACTCTGTAGATGTATCTGTCCTCATGCTAACCCACAGCACCATCAATACATGAGTAGTCATTTTGTAGTAACATCCCAAAATTTGGCCCTAAATATGAATTGTTTCTTTTCTTCTTCACTTTTAAAATATTCTAGAAATATTCACCACTTCATTAGAAAAAAATAAATTAGGTATTTCTGGGTATTGCAAACTAACTTATTGTTCTCAGATTATCCTGCTAGATCATCTTCTCAAATCTTATTCTTGTGTGAAAAATCATTACCAAATGTTTTTTTCCAAACTGTTGTCAGAATTGCTATGCTTTCACTAATCAAAAGAAACAACCCAAAACCTAAACAAAACTGGTTAGACAATAGATTGATAAACACTATGCAATATTTTTGAATAGCTGAAAACTTTTTTTCCCTTTACTGCAAAAGTGGCTTTCCCAAATGATTGCTACCTACCATTAAAAAAAAAATAAAAAAAAATTACAAAACCTCTTTTTTGTTACATCATTGAGGTTTTTTTTAGCTAAAGACTTCCTTTTGTCAGTGGTCACAGTATTGGAAGGTACTGGGTTTGCATGGTATAGCAAGAAGGAGTCTGATCACTAGTATGCCTGGTGGAGTTGAGTCATATGAGAAAACAAACTAAAAAAAGGTATCATTTACCTCTAGGTTTGTCAGAGAAATGGACCGATGACCTCTCATTCTTTCTGAGGTAACTTAGACTGTAACTAATATTTTAAGTCTCAAATTGTCAAAATATTTTAAAACATACTAGAAAAAAATGACCCACTTAAAAATTCCATAGGTCTTAATTCACTTAAATACTATTCTCTTCCATGAAATTGTTGAAATAAAGAAAACTCCTAACACAGGTCTTATCATAGAATTTACGCAAGGGATTAATTTTTTAACGGTATTACTACTTTAACATTAAATATATGTTGTTTGCTACACTTTGTGTGTGCTCAAAACATTTTATGAAGTTTGCAAAAAATTTTCCTAACCATGTGTGGCATGGTTTTGCAATAGGCAAAGCAACTTAGAAAAGCTTAAAGTTATGCAGAATGGTATGAACTCAAAATAACATCCAAACTCTTCTGTTATAATAAATAACAGAAACAAATTTACACTGAAGGGTAAGAGTAGAGAGCTGAACTTACTATGAACTTATTTTAATGAAACGTCAACTCAGAAAAAAAAGGCAGACTAATGTGACTTTGTTTTCTTGATGTCCCATGTGAAATAAACTTTGAGTGTGAGTATGTTTGAAACAGCAAATGTACATATTATACACAGGAAGCATGGATATTTGTGGATGTGAGATAAGCGATGATTGAGGGAATCTTGAAAAAATGCATTTTTAAGAAAAACCACATTGTAAACACAGCCAATTAAAACACAATCACATATCTTAGTAGCAAAATAATACGACCTCTTGCAATTAAGGCATTTTAAAATCTTCCATTCCTGCAGAAGTTCTCTTTTTGAAATACGATGATATATCTTTACTTCCAAATAATCATGAACCTAACATCTTTTAAACTGTTGCAAAGGAACCACCAGTGTTTCTCTTAACCTACTAGCAGAGGAACACTGCAAAAAAATGATGAGCCCTTGCTGGGAGACAGAGATCTGGCATTTTCAGTCTAAACGCATCAAAGGAAGCATTCGAAGACAAGCCAGGGCAAGAGGGGAAAGAGGGTCAATCTACAACTCCATTGTCGGAGCTGGGAGCACAACAATGTAAAGAAAGAGGAGGGGGGGGAAAGAACAAGGCAGAACAAAGAAGTGCCCGAGCCTGCCTTGGCTTGTGCTGGGAACTGAGATGTTATAAATGAACAAATAAACACGGATGGGACAAGCTGTTACCCAAGCCTCGACAGTATCTGAGCAGAGATGAATATGTGCCCTGACATATGAACAAAATCACCATAATAGGCAAGTCTGAATGCGACACACATCTTCAAAATTTTTGTAAATGCTACATCCACTTCACCCATTGTTCCTCAGTTTCCAAAATTCACCTGGTTTTGTTCAAACCAGATTTTATCTGCAAACAGCAGCTGGTTTGGGCCAAATACAACGAACATTTTTCACTGTATTTGGTTTGTTGCCATTCTATTTTATTCTTTCACCAGATAACATGGAAACAGACATCCTGGAAGCTGTGACAGCTATTTAAACAATAATAGATGAACGGAGGTAGCCATTCTCTTGTCTTTGTTCCTAAAAGCAAGTAGGATAAGTTCAGAGCGGTCACCAATCAAACTGGAGAATATTGATATTGCCAGGATTTGAAAGCAAGCGATAATAGCTGGCTCTAAAAAATACTATACAGATTACTGCCTTTCTGTAATCATTTAATGGTTTTTTGTAATGCATCTTGATGCTTTTTTTGTTCTCTGTAAAATATTTCACATGTATTTGTTCCTAAAACAGGCTCATTCTTACCATTTGAATGATGAAAGAGGATTCTGTTTTCACTTTTTACTATCATAAATCCGGTGCACACGTTTTTGTGGAAACAATCTATTCCATTCAGTTTAATATGATTTTAGTATAAAGTTTTGCATTTCACCTTCCTCAGAGTCAGAGGTTTCAGGTGTGAGAAGCTCTTCTGTGTTAATTAATCTGTAACTGTTGATTTATATTAACACAAAAGAACAGGGCGTCCCATGTGCTGAACTGAAATGTTTACCAACTTCATGCAGATTTAAAAGAATAAATAAAATCCTCTTGCTCAATTCCCATATCATTTGGCTGCTTTATAGATTTGGTCATTCGAGATTCACCCTGAACATAACTAGGGGCAATGAGAGATGATGACTGTGAAGGATGTTACGAACTGTAAAAGGAATGTACTAAAACAAACTCTTATAAAAACATAATTTTTTTTTCAATCTACATTTT